TAGCAGCCCCGTTTGCACCCTTTTGTTCAAGTGGTAGTATGTCATTTCTTTCCAAGAAGAAATATGTCTGTTTTGTTAAAATAGATGTTAACAGTTTGTATGTTGTTGGAAGACATGTAATTGGTCTATAGTTTTTCGAATATTTGTGTCACTATTTTTGGGTAGAAGAAAGGTAACTCCTTTGGTCATCCATGCAGGAATTTTAGTTGGATCGGTAAACCATTTCTTGAAGTTCTTTGGCGAGTTTTTGTGTGCTGTATTTAAATAATATAGCCAGAAGTTAGAATTTTATCTATTCCTGGAGATTTCCAGTTGTGTGCTTTTTCAGTGCACATTTAACATCTTCTTCTGTGATTCCCGCCCATGTCTGTTCTGGTTTATTTTTCATTCGTTCTAACTCTTGCGCAATCCAATCTGCCTTTTCGTTGTGTTCTTTAGGGCAAGCCCATATTTTTCCCCAGAACTGTATAACTTCTTCCATTTTAGGGGACTGTCACTTCAATTCTTTGTTTACCTATTTCCCTGTAAAATTTCTTTGCATCGGTTTGAAAGATCTTGTTCTGTCTATAGAATCTTGATCTTTTCTCGTAGCGTCTTATTCTTTGAGCCTTCAGTTGTATTGTTTGCTTTATTTTTTTTTTTAGTTGATAGGACTTCATTTTCATTCCTGATATTGTATTTTCTTTTTCGACTCTTCTGCCTTTTCTAGTTCTTACATTTACTCCTCTTGCTAGTTCATCGAGTACTGATAATTCACTTCTAAGGTGTTCAATTTCTTTTTCTATTTTTTCTTTCCAAGGTGGATCTTCATGTCTGTGAGACTGCCTTTTTTTACTTTGATGTTCAGTTTATTTGTTGCTGCTATTGCTGATGCATATATTGCTTCATTGAGATTTATATGAGTGTCTTCTTCATCCAGAATCAATTTGAGTGCTGCATTATAGAGCTTAATAGTTTTGAGGTTATGCTTTGTTGGTTGTAATTTTGGGAGTTGTTCTCGTTCCTCCATTGCAATATTCTGTATCTGACTTATATGGCTCATGATTTCATCCTTGGCTTTTGTATATTAATCTTGTTTTCTGTGAAATAATTCTGTTCGATGAATTTTGAACTCGTTTTATTACCGTCTTGTGACTGACTAAGATCATACCTTTCCAACATTTCTTAAATTTTCAGCATTATCTTCACAGTGATTTGTGTGTATTTCGGTTTTTTCATTATGACCTGAGGCTTGTGTGATGTTATTACTTTTTTTTCCTGATTCCGGTTCCTTTTCATGTTTTGTTGGTTCATCTATTCTTGTTGCAATTCTTTTTATTTCATTAATTTCAGCCTCTGTCAATCGGTTATTTCGCATGATGTCCCTTCTTACATTGGCTAGTTTATTTTTGTCTATGTACTTTCTAATTGTTTGCCTGAACCTTCTCTCCCAAATGTCATATGTTTGGCGAGTGATGTTTTTTCTGAGGTTTGAGTAACGCTTCATGGAATGCAGTCATAACAACTTTGTACTCCTCACGAGACCATTTTATTTTTTTCTTTCCTTAAATTTACGGTTATGGATCTAGCTGGAGAATTTACAGGACCATCATTAGGATTATCCTGGTTGTGGGGACCTGAAGATTCATTCTTTGTGTAGGAGTTTGTTCCTATGGCAGATTTTTTTATCCTCAGGTAGGTTCCTCCTGAAGGACGGCCCCTGTTTATCCACTGGAAGAGCCATACTGGACGTTTTGTTTCTATTTTTAATTTTCATATTAATCCCACGAGTGACGCACGGGTCCAAAAGTCCACCCAAAGTTGCCCGGCACGTTGAGTAACGGTCTTTTACAGACAGGGTTCCGAAGCCTGTAGGGGATCGTTCGCGACCTCATAACGCAGTAGCCATTCACTCCTCGGCACGATTAACACCTTGAGTTGCGGGTTGTTGTTCGGAGTTTTCCTTCTCCTAAATGGGTTGCCAAGCAACAATAGACAGAGACACGATTGGAAATCAAAGAGAATGACGCTGGTTAAAAAAAAAAAAAAAAAAAAAAAAAAAAAAAAGTTTACATTCGTTTGTCTTTGCTGTGAAATTTAAAAATAATTTATTGGCCCATCTGTAAATTCCACGATATTCCTTCTTAGAAAGATCGCATTTTCTTTTCATAAATTCATAAAATGTAATATGTAAATGTAAATTCCGTTATTTTTAAAGTCGTTGAAAATAGCGTTGTTTAAAAAAAAAAAAAAAAAAAAAAAACATTCGTTTGTCTTTGCTGTGAAATTTAAAAATAATTTATTGGCCCATCTGTAAATTCCACGATATTCCTTCTTAGAAAGATTGCATTTTCTTTTCATAAATTCATAAAATGTAATATGTAAATGTAAATTCCGTTATTTTTTAAAGTCGTTGAAAATAGCGTTGTTTAAAAAAAAAAAAAAAAAAAAATAAAATGCAATCCTTCTAAGAAAGAACATCGTAGAAATTGTATTGTTTTTACCTGTAATGTTTTTTTGCGGGTGGATATTGAAAACTAAGGGATATGTGAATGAGAAAAATTAAATAATTGATTAATCTATCAGTATTATTTAAAGGAGAACCAAATAAATTAAATAATAATAATACGAAGAAAAATTCATGCTTACGCTAAAATAGTAAAAATAACAAAATTTCATATGCGTTAAAAAAAAAAACTTGGAAGAAACAGCCGCTCAACGAAACAAAACATCACTACACTAGAGAGTATTTATATTAAATTTTTTTTTTTTTTTTTTTTCGCCATCACTAGTCCTAGTAACAAAAATAATTGTCATAAAAAAAATTATTATTATTATTATTATTATTATTATTATTATTATTATTATTATTATTATTATCTTCTTCTTTGATTTCTGGTGTTTACACATTTCTTTCCGGGTCCCGTCCAGGGACCTAAGGTTAGAAATGGCATCATGACACTTTCCATTGACAAAAAAAAAAATTTAAAAAAATACATAGATAAAGCCCTTCGTAAAGTGTGGGCTGTACTTGTCAGAACAATTTTTTGTATCTCTTTCAGGCATGGACTTCCAGGAATCCCTTCAATTAGTCTGACGGAATCTTTTCCAACCAGTCCTAGGGCTCTAACTACAACAGGGATTGTTGATGTTCCCATATGCCACATTTTTGAGATTTCTATTTCAAGGTCCTTGTATTTTGACATCTTTTTGAATATCTTCAAAGATACATTGCAGTCAGCAGGGACTGCCATATCAATAAGGAGGCACTTTGGTTATGATGGCGGGTTCGGGCCGCTTTGCATAATTTAGTAATTCAGAGATGAAGAAGTCCCGGTGCCCAGAAAATTTGGTAACGGAAAATTTGGTCATTTTGACAAGGTAGGAAAATTCGGTAAGTATTAAATAAAAGTTGATTTAAAATTGATTTTAGGGTTGTTCTGGAGTAGGGAATTTGAGGGGATAACCCCGCTCCCTTACATTTCTGAAATAGACATGAGGCTATATAATTTTTTTCTTTAAAAATAAATGACTATCTAAAACTTAATTTATTTACTACTTTTTTTATTAAAATAATAATTTGAAAAGAAGATACAATAATTTAATTTTAACTTAAATAAATCAATTTTATTTGGTTGAAATATATAGCGTGTAGCAATTAAATAAATATTTATTTAAAAACAATTATTTTCAAATCTTGGAGAGGGTGCTTAAACCCTAAACTTCCCTATCCTCACCATACGGCTCTTGTGTTGTTGTAGTGGGGTTTTATCTGAACTGGAATCCATGATTTTTTAGTTAATCTTTATTTAAACATATGGTGGGTGGCTAGCCCCCTCCAGAAAGTACGGCCCTGTTATAGTTGTAGTGGGATTTAAATCTAGATACCCCACCAACACACAGTTAATAATACTTTTAAAAATATTGGAGAAAGAGGACTTACCCCCAAATCTCCCCTCCTGCAAGTAGGGCTCTGGAATTGTTGTAGTGATTTTCAGTTATTTAAAAATATAGCGGAGAGGGGCTTAGCCCCCCAATCTTCACCCCAGAATGGCTCTAAAATCAATTGTCAATCGACTTTTATTTCATAGTTACCGAATTTTCCTTGGCAAAATTCTAAATTTTCCGTTGCCAAGTCTTCCGTTACCCAATCTTCCGTTCCTTGGCAAAATTTTAATTTTTTCTTTACCGAATCTTCCGTTACCAAATCTTCCATTACCGAATTTTCGTACCTTGGCAAAATTTCAAATTTTCCGTTACCAAATCTTCCGTTACCGAATTTTTCTAAATTCGTAATACTCAATATGTATTATTTCGAAATATTCCCCTCATCAGAAAAGTTTGTAAAAATAAAAAATGAAACAATTTCTGATTAATAAGTATGAGAAAATACTAAATTTATGCCACACGTGATAAAAGTAAGATTTAATATTGAAAATTTGGATATTACAAATGTTCATATTTACATTAAATTTTGCGAATTTCTTTTGTGTTCAATGTTCTTTCACGATGTGACTGATCATGGCTCTACACCACACACTATCTTCTGCTATTCTAAGAGAATCCACCCTGCCCCCGCCCCTCGAAATGGCTGATGCCCAACTCCACGAGTGAATTTAAGCGTGCTATTAGGTTGGCATCTCGGTCCCACCCCTTTCACTGTCGAACCAGTTAAATGTAGCCGTCTCTTCTACTTCAATAGTTTCTTATCTCGCACTTCCCGTCAGTGGAACTCCCTTCCTCTTACTTGCTTCCCTGATAACTGTCATCTTCAAATATTGAAATGTAATGTCAATCGACATCTTGTGATGTCTTGATCCTGATCCCCATCCTTCTCTTTATCCTTTCTTCAAACACCCCTCTTTACTCTTACTCTCAATCCTCTGTAACCCCTTGCGTACTAGTGGCACTCCCGCCTTGGTTGGGGGTTATATGCTTAAAAAAAGTAATATATTTCCTTTTTTTTTACTACCCACTCACTTAGACTTTTCCTGCAGTTTCCTTCTCTTACCGTCAGGGTTTATGGCCACATCACGTTGAAACACCGGTTCTCGTAAGATCACCAAGTTTAGCAACGTCGAGCCTGGTCAGTGCCTAGATGGGTGACCGCTTGGGAACACCAGGTGGTGTAAGCTTGGATGTGCGGCTGGTGTAATGGATAATAGCTCGGAATTGTTAATCGGAGAGACGATTTCCTATTCCAGTTGGGTTCGTTATATTCACTTACCCGCAAATAACCGTTGGAAAGGTATCAATCCACCTCTTCCCCCAGCTATGGGTTAATTATTAAGACTTCTATTTTTAAATCATTATTATCTCCTCCACCAAAAAAAAAAAATTCTTATAATATAAAAATATTTTCTGGCTTTAAACAATCTGGTTGATAGGCTGTAAAAATCAAATGAATCAATTGTATCTTTAATAAGCCCCGTGTGTGTTTAAATCTTGGGGAGCCCAATCCTGTCTTTTCTTCTGGGTGTTAGTTTCTATGTTACTTGTTATTCCCTGTGAGTGTTATATTTTTCATGTCTGCTTTCCTTCTTATGTGTGACTGACAATTCAGCTGTATTTCTCTTCTTACATGCATTATATTGCTTTCTCTCTTCTGTTGTCCAAAAAATCTAACTGTTTTGTTCTTGTTATTATCAGCAGTTCCTATTCCCCTTGGAACTTACTTGCTGCTCATATATTCTGTCCATACATTTCACAGCATTCGTTGGTTGGACCACATCTCTCTTACTTCATGTAAATAGATTCTTCATATGTGAGGAGATTGCTAAGCATTCACTGGTATGTCGGAGATTATTAGGCATTACAAAGGCAGTTTTTTTTTAGAATTAGGAAAGTTAGACTCACCGATCAATAGTTGCAACATTCACAGATGTCACGGCTTTGTGTCAGGGCATAGAAGACACTCAATGGTCCCTCTTCAAATGTCTAAGTCTCGAGGGCGAACTCTATCATTGATACACGCGTAGGCGATCATGTACCGTTCGATACATGACTGACGAGGCAGATTTTTTCCCAGGTTGCCATTTCTTACTGCGGTAGGCCAGTTTCCATCCAAGGCTATAAAACGCAGTCTGTTCTGTTATTTACCCATGGCTGAAAGGGGGGAGAAGAAGAGGATTAATACCTTTCCCAAGGGTATTAGCAGGAAAGGGAATGTAATGGATTCGACTGGAATTCGAACTCGGCTTTCCGATTACTCAGTCCCAGCCGCTATCCATTACTCGACCGTACGAACTATATTAAAAAATACCTACCTTTTTTTATTCTCCTGTAAATTCAATCTATATCTCTATTTTTTTGGTGAAAACCGAACATGTGTCTGCCTTTCGAACTCAAGTATAAATGGGACCAATGGGCACCTTTTCAACTGGAATCGGATTTATCAAACTTTTTAACTGATATAAATACAACAAATTTGATTCTGGCTGTTTGGCTTTAGTGACAAACGAACCTGTATCGAACTTTCTAATTCTAAATGTAAACCGGACCTATGTCCACTATCTTAACTTTAGTGTAAATCTGATTTGTGATTTTAGTGAAAAACGAACCTGTATCTAACTTTCTAACTCAAATGTAAACTGGATGTATGTCCACTTGTTTAAAATTTATTATAAATCTGATTTGTCAACCTTTTTTACTCTAGAGTAAATCTAACTATGTCTGCCTGTTTGACTTCAATGAAAAACGAACATATCTAACTTTTATACTATATGGCGTTACATTAAGCAAACTAAATAACTAATCTTGAAGCAAAACATAGTATAGAACTCAGTGATGTTTGAAATCATTTCTCTTGATGTACGAAACCCCAATGTCGTAAATTTCTCTATGACTGTCGTCTTAAAAAATACGCTTAGGAAACATTATTTTACCACGGGGTTTTCCTCAATTCTCAGACGATAATTTAATTACACTTCAGTTATAGAAAATGCTAATGTATATGCGATACTTATGAATTCAGTCTTAGAGAAATTAATAAAGAATGCGACATTCTTGGCGGCATTTATTAGATGATGTATTAGAATTGTGGCATTGGTAATGGTGCCTGCAGTGATAGCCAAGACATCTGCATACTCAATATTGGTCAACTTTTTTGCAGGATATCTACGTGACAGTCTTAGTGATAAAGTAAAACCTAGACGATGATGTTTGTTGAGAGAAGTTCTCAAAGAGTAATAATCCAACGATGTCACCCTGAAGGACCCCTACTTTTATGTCAAGGAAACTAGTGTCTTCGTTTCGGGATCTAACTAAGGATTTGGTATTTCTGTATGGCATCATTATGGCAGTTACTATCAAGACTCAATAAAAGCTTCGTGCTGGGTATGACGATAAACTATATCCGTCTCGACTGTTGATTATTTGTCCTACGGTCATTGTCTGCAATGGACGTTACACCAAGGAAGCGTACGAAAATTATAACGCTGCACGAACGAACTGGCAAGCCTTACCAGTGAACAAATCAAAGTACTATCGACTGGTGCGGAAACTCTTCCGATTTAAATCCAATCGAGAATTTGTGGTCAATCTACAAGGAACGACTTCGTGGAATGGACATACGAAGTACTAATATGTACACTGGGCCATGTTTTATTGGAAAACTACGAAAAAAAATCAAAATAATAACGGAATTATTCGTTTTTCAATTAATTTTTACAAGAGCCTACACTGTTTTTGACAATCGTCAGATGGTGTGAGCGACTTGTTGCATTGTTTTCAAGAACTTTGTAAAAATATCTCGAGTCTAAAATTTTCGGATAAAAATGTTCAAAAATCGACGAAGCCTTAACCTATTCAGTTGGACACAAACGACGCAATTTTGATTGAGTGGGAGAAAATAATGTATGACCTCTTGCATGTAGAAAATAAGACCTCTGCCAAATAAACAGGTCATTCAGGTTGTTTTCAGTGCCTGGGAATGAGTCCTACGAAGTTAGCACGAGAGGTAAGGGTATTGTATGACCCGATTGTCATGGCGTTCCTTTAACCCTTAGGTTAAACAAACCATAACACATCGCTGTTTTTATTAACCTTCCACAGGATTTAAAACATGTAAATGTCTGAAAAGAAAGACTAGTTTGTAAATATTAGCAAGTTAGATAAAAACTATAACGTTCTGATTTACATATTCGTAAAACAATAACGCACCCTAATAATGTAATGGGCATGTTAGTAGACAGCTGTTTGCTAAAACAGACAGTCGGGCGCTTGGGACTCCCGGGTTTGGCGAAATGTCAAGGAGAAAGCAAGTAAAGAGGAAAACAGGACATTTTGACAGGAGGTGGCGGGAAGAACAGGTGTAATTTGAAGAGTAGGTAAAAGGCGTCAGACGGACGCAACCAGGTATGGAAAATATAGCTAAAGAATTTTTTTTAAGCATTTCGCTCCAAGCAAGGGGATAATGCCACTAGTAGTTACAGAAAATGAAAGAGAATAAGAAGACATTTGTGAGGAGAAGTGAGGATAAAGAAAATAAAAGAACAGTTTTCAAAAAAACAGAAGATGGCGATTAGCGTTGCATTTTTTTTTTGAGGATTGTATATGGCAGTTATGCAGTAAATAGAAAGAGAGTTCCACAAGCTAGAAGTGCGAGAAAAGAAACTAGTAGAATCGAATACGTCTATCTAGTTCAACAGTAAAACGGAGAGACTTAGTTGCCAAACTAGTGGCACGACTGAATCCATGCAGTCGAAACACCAAGGAAGACACTTCATCAGAACAATGAAAATAATTGGAGAAAAGACATAGGAAACTAAGCTACAATAGTGATAAATTGCCTGAAGTCGAGATGCCAGGTCAGGATCGATAACATTACAAACCTTTCTTTGAATTTTGTCAACAATATCGAAATATATAACAAGTAGAATGGCAGATTTATAAAAGTGGAAGATGTGTTCTGACGAGAAAATTGGATTGCGGAAGAAAAAACAGAAAGGAAAATAAAGAATTAATTGTTTGACAACAGATTAGATTAATGCAGCACTCAAACAAATCGATAGCTATCAAAGACTTAACAGAAAAATAAGATTGTCAATCAAATCAATGTCTTCAATTCCAATATATAGAAGGGTAGATAATTTCTCAAGTTGTGGCGAGCAATGTTAGTTTCACAGATCATTACTACCATCGTGAATTCTATCATCATTAAAAAAAGATGAGTCAATGCCATTTTTACGCGATACAGGGTAGTTAAATATATGGAACAAGTTACTTCGTCCAGCGTAACGTAAGATATTAACAAAATAAACAGAATTATGAATATAAAGAACTGTTAAAATTAAAGATAAAACGTACAACAGAAAACATTAACATAGTTACTTCCAAAAATTCGCTAAAAAATGATTAAAAAGACACAATACATAATAAAAACAAAATTTTATCCTCAAACTATTTGTGTTATTATTAAAATAAATGCTGAAAAGAATTTTTGATGAAAAAATTATTTTCGTATCCATTTTAGAACATTAGAATTTCTGCTTAAAAAATTTGCTTTTTTCTTTTATATCAACGCTAGACCATAAATTTGCACAGGTAATCTAATCGCCTTTTTGCAGTGAAAAAAAATTTAAATCTTTGCAAAAATCGTATAAATGTCGGATTTTAATGAAACTTTCAGAACTTATTCAGAAACAAAGGAAATTATTGGTTTAAATGTTTCTTTATTAAATAGAAACTTTGTAAAAAATATTTTTGCATATGTTACCCACCTCTATTTGATTTGATGAAATTTTGAGGAAGTCTTTTTTTTTTTTGTACAGTGTAACCCGGATATAAGAGAGTTGTCGGGACCGGAGAAGAAGTCTCTTATATCCGGGTTTGGTCTATTTTATATACATTAACACAGGCTCGAATTTGGGACCAGAGAAAATCTCTCTTATATCCGGGTCTCTTATATCCGGGTTACACTGTATCGCTTAATGTTTATATTAGTTATAAGAACAAGTCCTCGGATAATTTAAATACTCAAGTATTTGGTGTCAAACAGGGTCCCAATTTACAAAAAAAAAAAAACCTGCTCTGAATCTTAAAATAAAAAATGCATTAAAACTAAGACATTATTCATTTAGAAAAGATTTTAATTGCTTTCATAAATAAAATATATTATAGACGCTACTGTCTTTAAAAAAAGTCAAACAGTATTCGGAGTTGAAATCCCTCGTTTATCGCGTTAGATTGGTTCCAAGACCGGCCGCGATAACTGAATTTCCGCGAAATAGGGACGCCATATTTACAGTATTTATTTAACGTGTATTTGGACTTTTAAAACCCTCCCTGTACTGTTAACAACCTACCCATTACAGTACTCTATTAATAACAAGGACAGTTGTTAAGCAATAACACTTTAGATTAAAAAAAAAAGATTATTACTGTATTCAACACGTTAGAAGTTGAAGTAGACTTTGAATGATGACGGTGATGAATTTGCTGCACAGTAGAAATGATGATGATGAAGCTGGTGATGACTTCTACTGTGCAGCCGATAATTGTATTTTACGTCTCTTCAGACGGCGGTGCGCTTTCTATTGCTATTTTACACTTGTTTTGTTGTTCTTAGACCAGGAAATAATATTTATTATTAATATTTTAATGGGTTTAATGAAAAATTTTAGATGTTCATATATCGCGATTTTTCTAGAATTTTCCAGAAACTCTGCGATATATTTTCCATATATATATTTTAAAAACCCGCGAAGTCGCGAATCCGCGATAGTAGAACCGCGAATTAGCGAGGGATCACTGTATACTATTTTTATAGATATATCTCGGTAATAATAGGCTTAAAGATATATTTCTTTATGTGTAAGTATTAACACCTTTGGATAGGTGTATCGTCTTCAAATAATCTTAGTGTATTATCTTTTTACTTTAGGTTTTGCTTAGTTGTATGTAAGAACTGAAAATATAATTGATGGTTAGCGGTGTAACCGTCAAGGAGTTTATATTTCGGGTATTGATCTTTGAGGTCTCGTCGTATACGGATCATAATGTTAACTGGGAAGACTAGATCTCAATACCACGATTTTTTGTTGCTGTTGTTTTGCGGTGAAACAGGCAAGTGTTAATTCTAGAAATGATGATAGAGTTCTTGTTATTTTTTTCTCTCAAAAAAAAACAATTCCGTTTTATGAAATTATGAAATGTCATTATTCAACAACCATAACATTATATTGACGAAGCGTCCCACCGGGTCGGACCTTCACATCAAACTATAATCATTCCTTTCGTATTAGTAAGGGGGAAGTTCTATTGAGATATCCGCTTCCTCAGTACTGTTGTATTTAAGGGGCCCGTATCACAGATATCCCAATCTCCATAGAAAACCTTAGATCGTGGAGAAGCCGAATATATTTCTTCTCTCTTCCAAATCCCACCACCGCGATATATGACATTGTTGTACGAGAACATATTTTGGAAAAAAAATCAAAATGACTAATTTATGGCAAAGCCAATGAGAATCGAACCAATTATTTATTTGTAATTAATCTAGCAAGTCGAGCTCGCTAACCATTGCACACAGCCGATGTTGACCATATTTGCCGCAGTCTCTGAATATGAAATCCAGTGAAGTCCGTAATCTGTTCAATATCAGAGGTCGGCAGTGAAGATTCAGAGAAAGTAGTGGTTGTTAAGTAATTCTTTAAGTCTTCGATATCAGGTTGGCAGTGCAGACAATTTGGGAGAAAAAAAATGGCTGCCTTTATACACGTCGCATTGAATATTTTGAGCTTTCTGATTGGTTAACACTTCTCTTGGTGGACTATAAAATGAGTCAACTCATTTTGACTTGCTCACTAGTACACACATATATACAAAAAACTGCAACAGCCGAAGTATCCGAATCCCAACCCCCCCAAAAAAAACACTTCATAAATTTTCATATGACCGAATAAAAAGTAAAGTTTCCATATTATAGAACAGCGATTTGTATTAGGGTTGAAACGCCGGTACTCCTTCGATGGGCGCAGTTAAGTCAGGTTAATCCTGGTTAGTACATTGGAAATTACAAGTGCATCGAGGCGATTGAGATGTGGTTCTACAAAACGATGTTAAGGACAACATGTACCAAGGGTGTGAGCAAAGATGATGTCTTATAGAGGATGCAAACAAGGAGGGGGCTTATACTTAACATCAGAAAGAGGCAGCTGAAATTCATGGGACTCATAATGATGAAAGACGGCCTGGAGAATCTGATACTCACGGGTCGAATAGAGGGAAAGAGAGAAAAGGGAAAACAACGCGTGACATTCCTGGCGGACTTAAGCAAGTGGATGACAGAACGTGGTCTGAGGTAGGTGGCAGAGGGAAGGAACTTGTTGAGAGCTGCAAGGGATAGAAGGATGTGGAGAGCCATGATCGCCTACGTCCTGAAAGGACACGGCGCATAGAAAGAAAGAAGCTTGAATATACCGGTGGGTTAATGAGTAACGACTAGGAATTCTTAATCGGAATTAAAAGTAAAAATAAAATCACCCTTGATGATAGCTAAAAGAATAGCCGAAAGCGTTCGAACATACAGAACAATATCTACATAATTTATGTCCAGAAAAAAAAAAGAAACTTATAAGAACACAAGAAAAATTAAATAAAAAACTTAACCGTTGTACTTTGTGAGTCGTTTTTAACGAAACATCGAAAACCGAAAAGAATAAATAAATATATAAAATGAAAGAATGAAAATAAATAAAAACAAGTAAAATAAATTAACCGAAATGAATAAATAAGTAACCAAGCGACTCTCGTCAAAATAAACGCCAGAATGGACTACCCACAATGCACCACTGACCTATATATATAAATAGTCGAGAAAAAAAAATATCTGCAGCCTGACGATTGCGTCTAGTATGAAACAGCCTGTCGCCTTTGAGTGTTGACTTCAATGTTCATTTTTATATTTATATTTACATACGCCCTGTCTCTGAAATTGAGCACTTTATCCCATAAATATGGCACACCTTAAAACTATATTTTTTCATATATATATATATATATATATATATATATATATATATGTGTGTGTGTGTGTGTGTGTGTGTGTGTGTGTGTGTGTGTGTTTGTGTGTGCAATCCCTCTTTAATACATGTTTCATTCAACAATAGTGGCAAGGTACTTTTTAACTTTTTTATTAAATTTTTCTTCTATAAAATCAAGTGTTTTCTTTTCCGAACTTAATGAATTAAAATTTTTTCCAAATTTTTGCTGATACCAAGCTGTTTTGACTATTTTCAAGCCTCGCCACGAGTTTTTCTGAATGGAGACGGGTGCCTTCGCAAAGGGAGAAAAACTGCCAGAGAGTGTGGTCGGCCATGATCGCCTCTCTCCTGAAGGGGTGCGGCACATAGCAGAAGAAGATTATTATTATTATTATTATTATTATTATTACCATCTCAGGATGTCCGGAACTGGCAAAAAATGAATATACCTTCAGACATAACATAGTAGCGACATATGTAGACATATATATATATATTCAAGAAGGACAAAATCGAAACCACTGAGAGATGGTATGCCCAACAACCAGACACAGTTACCCAAAATAACCATGTAATTATCCTCTTGGATATGCCAATTCAAACCTACATAGAAATGAAAGCCAAAAGACCTGATATTATCATAAAAGACAAGAAATTCAGGAAGTGTATGCTTATAACAGTACCATCTGAGAGAAACACCCCCATGAAAACTATCGAGAAATTGTCTAAATACTAGGACTTGGAGATCGAGATTAACAGGATGTGGGAAATAAAGACTGAGATTGTACCAATAGTAATCGGAACTCTGGACCTCCTGAGAAAAGGAATGGACAATTTTACTTAAGTGTCCCAGGTAACATCAGTTGCCCAGAAAATCGTCCTACCAGGAACATCCCATAAACTAAGAAAAGTGCTATCAATTAAATGACAGTTCTCCTATAGGGCCGAAGGACCATATTTTAGACCCGGCTCTACACGATACAAAGCAAGATACAACACACAAACAATAATAAACATAATAATCGTGCATAAGTTCTATTGTTGACAGTATAAAAGTTGGTGAAGATCATCATATTCTTAATTTCCAAATATAGATAGATAGATAGATAGATAGATATTTGTGTAACCATATGAAACCGTGAGATGAAGAAGCGATGTCTTACATGCTGGTATATGCATAAACAGCAAAGCACTTATCTATTGAAATGTAACAAAATATAAAAAAAACACAGTCATACATTATTGGCGCGTTTTTCAATTAATTAATATATATATATATATATATATATATATATATATATATATATATATATTTTAAGGTGTGCTATAATTATGGGATAAAGTGCTCAATATTAGAGATAGAGCGTATGTAAATATAAAAGTGAACATTGAAGTCAACACTCAGAGGTGACAGGCTGTTTCATGCTAGACGCAATCGTCAGGCCTGAAAGAGTTGACAGGCTGTTTCATGCTATATGCAATCGTCAGGCCTGACGATTGCATCGAGCATGAAACAGCCTGTCAACTCTGAGTGTTGACTTCAATGTTCACTTTTATATATATATATATATATATATATATATATATATATATATATAACAGTGAATGTGTGTGTGTGTGCGTCTGTAAGCAAGTACGTCTATTTCATTTTAACCTTATTAGGTTAAATAAAATTCTTCAAATACTTTTTGACAAAATCTGTTTATCGTTGTCTGGGTTTTGTCCCAGGTAATAACATTTAGACCTGTTGACGCCAACCGACACATCAACCAGGGATAAACGAACCGGTATATAATGGCGCCGGCACTCCTTGTCAGAAGCAAATAAGAAAGACACTTGATGAGATTTTAACTGATATGCTGAAAATGTAAGCAATATTAACCGTTAAAATAAAGGCTCTAAATCTGCGGTGACATAACGTGTGTGATGCACCTGGGGTATGAGGACAGTGGTCAGAGATCAGTGCGGCTAGAAGGAGATGAGTGCTTTAGATTACAATGATTAGCAACGAGGAAAAATAAGTTACATGCCTGTCCATTTCTTTTTTTTTATGACCAAGGTCGTATATTTTGTACTCTAAGTATTTATTATATATAAGTATAGTGATTTCCCAAACGTAGCTCATATATGGCACAAGGCCGAAAGCATGGGACACCCAGTGAGGATCGAACTCACTACTCAGTCGTAATTGTTCTAGCGAGACAAGCTTGCTAACCATTACACCACCTCGAGGTGCCTTATTATATATATAAGTACTAGCAACATGGCCCGGCGTTGCCCGTGCTTGATTCAAAAATCGTACGACTCATACAGCAATCGCTATCACTTGACTTTTTTGCCCTTCCTTGCCTTTAAAGAAGTGCCCTTTGCCGTGCTGATGTTGCTACATGCCTTACTTCTTGCCTATCTCACACTGCGAATTTTTTCTAAGCTCTATACTAATCATTAAATCTGTTACGAAAATAGAACTAAACAAAATGAACACAAAACGATCAGCTTTAAAAAAGGACTCGTAACTGGAAAAACCGAATGAAAAAAGAATGTTAACAACAAATACTTTTTCACACCCAACCCAGTTCTGCGGAATCAGAATCAACGTTGAGTTTAAGCAAGCGAATGAGCCAATTGGAGTAAAGTGCCATGCAGATTTAAATTTTTCTCACTTGTGACGAATGCAGCTATCGATTTTTTTTTTGCATGCTAGCATGCTAGTTAACGTTCGTGTCAGTCAGCTGTTGGCTCTCACGGTGGCCAGTAGAAAATGGCCGCAAACTACATGAAAACTGCCGTAGAAGAATGAGCAAATTTCCACTATCGATGGGAGTTTGGAAATGCAAAGTCGGTCTTGGCCTTCCCGCTAACTTGGAGCATGTGCATGTAAGTTTTGGTGCAAATCCGTCGAAAATTGCGGCCGTGCCCACACACACACACACACACACACACACACACACACACACACACACACACACACACATCCTGCCTTTTATAGATAGAGCTATATAGCTATTAGAGAGATGTGATTAAATATACTTTAATGTTTAAAAAAAAATTTAGTTTTATTATTATGTAATAAGCATTGTAACATCTTACAAATAACTCTATTGTAGAAAAATATGTGAAATTATCTGAAAATACAATTCAAGTACAAAGTTCAGTGATGTGTATGCTAGACCACAAGGAAGACTTGAAAAATATATCCAGTGAAATAATTGACCATTGTATACAAAAAAAGACTATAAATTTTTACTTTGTATTATGAGGACATAAAAAAATGAAGATGTATCTGAAGATATTTGATTCAGATCTCTCTACTCCTAACGTTTCTGACTCTTCTGATTTTTAATTTGTTTTTATAATTTTAGTAATATGAATTACTTTTATTTTCTATTAATAATATAAAAATTATACATTAATTACTAATTTTTTTAATTGATAACTATTTGAGCCTAGATGTTGACATTTATAGCTATCTGCTGATGCGTTAAAATTTTGGAATAATGCAATAATAAAAATTGAAATTTCATATCTCTGATAGATGTTGTGATCTCTAAGGTCAATGTCCTACAGCGGGTAGTAAAAGGGCGTTAGAAGAAAAGACTAAACATTATCTACAGGAAGACAGAATGTATGTTTGTGAGGACGAGACCGGAAAGTAAATGGCAAACTGGTCATATCAAAATCAGACAAGAACAAAAATTTAAATATTTGGGAGTTCTTATAACAAAGGAAAGTGCGACATCGAAATCCGAAGGCGTATTGGGATAGCTAAAGAGCCTTCCAAATGCTAAGCAATGTATTAAGAAACAGAAAGAAAAAAAAACTTCGTTAGAAACAAAGGAAAGAGTACTAAACTCTTATGTTATATTTGTCCTTCCATATCGCAGTGTATGCTGGACAATCTCCTCACAAACGAAGAAGAGACTTGAAGCAACAGAAATATGGTTCTAGGGAAGGGTGCTAAGGACCGAATATGTGAGCAGCGACGGAGTTTTAGAGAAAATTTAACATCAGGAAGAGACAGTTGAAATTACTAGGACATATAATGAGGAAAGATGTCATAGAAAATCTGATTATTACTGAAGAAGAGGAATAGAGCCAAACAAGCCATAAGCTACCTAATGAGCTTGAGTAAAAGCGTTTAGGAGAAATAACAAAAAGATAAATTTTATTACGAGCTACAAACGACGGGAATTTTGCGAGAACCATGATCTCCTAGGTTCTGGTGGGACATCACTCATAAAGAAGGATTAGAAAGTGATATGTCCTGGAAAGGAATATATTTGTTTGAAGTAGCAAAGTAGTTGTTGACTACTGCAACCGGGTAGGACAATCTAGCAGGTAACCGTAATAGACTGGTCCTCGTCGTACTGGCAGGCAATAGGCGAAGACTATAGGCGTAGCCAATAAGCGTCGTTCATGTATCTCCACATAAGTTTGTATTTATGGCTGACACCAGCCAATCATATTACTGTGAGGGGAAACCCAGGTGTATGCATATAAATTACATCAATATAATAATAATAATAATAATAATAATTCATAAGTCCCGGAAAGGGATATATTTGTTCGAAGTAGCAAAGTGGTTTTGGACTACTGTAACCTGGTAGGAAAATCTAGCAGGTAACCGTAATGGACTGGTCCTCATCGTAGTGGAAGGCAATAGGCATAGGCAATAGGCGTAGGCAATAGGCGAAGACTATAGGCGTAGCCAATAGGCGTCCTCTTGTACCTCCACATCAGTCTGTATTTATGGCTGACACCAGCCAATCATATTACTGTGAGGGGAACCCAGGTGTATGCATATTCATTACATCAGAAAGAAAGAAAGAAAGAAAAAAAGAAAGAAAGAAAGGAAGAAAGAACAAGAAAGGATACTATCCGTTAATTAAATCTAAGCAAAGATCACAAGATCTGAAGATGGTTTAGTGTTACGTCATTTTTGCCGAAGTCAACTTTGTTTTTTTTTTCAAACAATTATAGGTTCATATAACTATTCATAATAAAAATCATGAGTACACAATTATATGCTTTCAAGTAGTTCAAGCAATGATATAGTTTCAAGTAACTTTTTTTTTTACGTGTTACGGTAAGTAGTAGTTTATATGGACAGGAGGGGAAGATAATGGTTGGCTTGAACAGGTTAAGATTGTAGTAATTGGGGAAACATCCTCTTGGGAGTTTGTTCCATAGGGTTCGCGGGAAGAAGCTGTTTCAGTGGAATACGGGGTGAATGTGGGTGATTTGCTACTATGTAAGTGGCATGGCGGGTCCTAACCGTGAAGGTCAGATCTGGTGGAAGCAGGAGATTCCATTCGTCCGTGCATTTTCCATGGTAGTAACGATAGAGCAGTGAGGGACTCGCTACATCCCAGTTGTAAGAAAGAGTGTGAAAAATAATTCTTCTCCATCAAGGACTCGGAGACGCTTTTGAATCCTATCAAAACTCCCAAGTATAGCAACAATACTCCATTTTCAGCTTTATCTGGTTCTTATAAAGATAAAGGTTAGCATGAGGAGTCAGGTATTTACTGGAGCGTTACAAGGAACTGATCATTTTTATCTTCATCTTTAGCGATTGATCGTATATAGGAATTCCACTTGAGGTCGGTGGGGGAGGCAGTTTGATTAAAATCCATTTTAAACAATTATAACCTCAAATTAAAGATGCCCAAACCGGTTCAAGGTACATTCTCCGTAAAAAAATTTTGCCGTAGGAAAACTAGCCTCAGGAATTTTCGCTGGAGAAAACATTACCGTATAGGATTCTTGTCGTAAGACAATTTTGCCACATTTTTTTAATATGCGAAGTATCTTGTTATCAAATATATCTGGCGCACACTATTGTTACATCGATTTAAACATTTTAATTAGCGAAGTTCTAGGATCAAAATCCTACATCATTCATCCTCATCAGTGAGGAGCTAAAAAATTTCAACATGACACCAGAACCTACGTCACGCAATTTCATATTTTTGACATAACGCTAAACTTTCTGTTAACATAATGTCAGTCTGCCGATAATTCTCATTCAAGCAATATATATTACAATTTAATATATATAAGCAATATATATATATATATATATATATATATATATATATATATATATATATATATATTTATATATATATATATATATATATATATATATATATATATATATGTATATTAAAGCAAACTTCCAACTTGAAT